TAGTATTTCAGTCCAACAGAAGGCAGGGGAAAAAAGAACTAAAGAAAGCTTAGTAAAGAGAAAACTCAAGTAAGATAGTAACATGAGTCCAAGTACGTAAGTATAATGGAAAAAGAAAAACTACCAGATTGGATGAAAAGCAAGAAGTGGTCTGGAGAGTGGAGAGACCTGGTCAGCAGGACAGGTGGTTCTGTTCTTTATACAACTTTCTATTCCTTGCCACATCTGTCCCCTCTCTCCCCGACTGTTTCTATCTGGTCTTGTCTGCCTAACGATTGAGATAATGTTGTTTTTCTAGGCTTTACTTCCTGCCCTAGTGTAGATATGTATAGCAAATTCCTGGACTTTAGCCCTCCCAAGACACGAACAAACCACACTGGGACTTCTGGAGCCAGCAGGTGTGGAGCAGAGCTGGGCTGGAGCAGAGCAGTCTGACTGAAGAGACCCCGCAGCCTAACTCTTCCCCTGCCCCGCCCCCTCCCCATGCCTCAGCCCAGCGTTCCTCCCCTTAGAGGCTGTTTCTCAGGGCGTAACATTGATCTTCTCCAGATGAAGACTGATGGTTTATTTCTCTAGGATTGATCGAAAGTTAGCCAGAATGACGATCATAAGTTTAAAGAAGTTTGTTAGCTCCTGCTTTCTGATTTCCTGGCTGCTAACTCTGGGCCATATCAGGAGCACCAGAGCCGAGATCTCAGACTGGATATTAAGTCAAGGAAGGAAGGGGCTCGAAAGGCAGAGGCTGCCAGAGGGGTTGTCACTGGGGAGCAAGGAGGCCTGAGTCACTAGGATCACTGTGAGGGGTCTGTGCCAGAGGCTGGGGCCAGAATGTTGCAATGTGATGACTTCAGTTAGCCGAATGTGCAGAGGTGCAGCAACCAGTTCTCAGACATGCTAGGACGTTCCTCACTGGGTTTGAGTTTTGTGTAAGGAAGAGGCTGTCAGGTCTCTTCCTCAAGATCATGATTGACACCCCCCTCACCCCCCAGGGCACCTTCTGCCAGGCTCAGCTGTTGCCTTACCCAGAAGGCAGGGAGTTTGCTAGGTTGCTAGGCTGGCGGGGATCTGGCCCTCGATGGTTGTACCCCAGTTAGTGGGAAAAGCCTCTCTGGAAGGCAGTGGGCGCTTGTGGAAGGAGCACTGGCCTTGGAGCCTTCAGACCTGGAGTGGCATTAAAACTCCATCACTTCCCGCCTGGCTGACCTCGTTCAGCTAGTCTTGGGACTTCTGTGAATACCAAGTGAGACGCTATGCCTGAAAACGCTCAGACACTCATAAGGCATCATGCAGTGTGAGTAATACCCTGTGGTTTGATGCCTTTACTTTGAGGCTCCGGGACACATCCTCAGGCTGTGTGTCAGTGGGTGGAAAGAGGGTGCTTCATCAGCATCTTGCTGGCCTTTTTCCTTCTCCCCACCCCTTCCAGATTCAAGCGGCCCACCTCCCCCCATCCTCTGCAGCTTATTTTGACATTTCTTTTCTCTGCCTGCCAAGAAGATTGTGTTCAGCTGCACTGGTCTGAGGCTGTGCTATCCTGTGCTTCATTAGGTTAATTTGACGGCTTGCCTCCTGGGAACTGACCTGAGAATGGCTCTAAAACCCAGTTGCCACTATTTTCTTTTGGGGGCAGGCTTTGCTGCTCAGTGCCTTACCCCTGCTTTTCCTCTCCTCTGCCTGTGAGCTGGTGAGGGCCTCCTTTGAGCTTCCATTGGTTTCTTGAACCTGCCAGAGCATGCATCTCCTGATTGGTAGAAGGCTCTAAGGGAGGGAGACCATCCATTCTTCAAGGCTCCTGCTGCCCCTGACCTGGATTCTGGTCTCCAGTTCCTCTCTTCAGCCTCAGCATCTCAAGCTCAACCAGCCATTCACGGGACATTTATTGTTAAATGGTCTCACCAAATTTGCTAGATCTGTGACCACAAATCTCTCAGAAGACTGTAGCATTGCCTTGCCACCCGCTAAATTTCCCTCGTTCCCCCCCTTCTCTCTTAGAGGACTGTTTCACATCTGATCTCTGTAAATCTCCAACTCCAACAATAGTGAGGCCATCCTCACTTCCCTACTGCAGACTGCATCACTCCCTGGGACTCTGCCCCATGCTCTGCTTTGCCTCCTGTTTCACGGGTAGACCCTCTCCATGTAGGCACTGCATCCTGCCCCTTCTTGCTACTCAGGGACTTTGCTTCTCGATTATCTTCTCTTTTTCCTGCAGCAGTAACCTTCCGTCTACTAAATCATTCCCACCAGTATACAAACATTCTGTAATATCTCCCAACTTAGCCCCCATTCTACTTTATCCCATTCCCTTTTTTTGGGTAACACCTTTGTTGAGATATAAGTCACGTAGCATACAGTTCACCCATCTCAAGTGTACAATTCCATGGTTTTTAGTCTATTCACACCGTTGTGCAACCATCACCACAAATAATTTTAGAACATTTCATCACCCCAGAAGGAAACTCCATACCCATTAGCAGTCACTCCCATCTTCCCCAACCCCCAGCCCTAGGCAACCACTGATCTGCTTGATGGATTTGCCTATTCTGGACATTTCATATAAATGGAATCATATCATATGTCATCTTTTGTGACTGGCTTCTTTCACTTAGCACAGTGTTTTCAAGATTCATCCATATCGTAGTGTGTATCGGTATTTCGTTCCTTTTTATGGTTGAATAAGAGTCCATTGTATGAACATATGATGTCTTGTTCATCAGCTGATGGAACTTGGAGTTGTTTCCACCTTGGGGCTAATATGAATAATGCTGCTATAATCATTTGTGTACATGTTTTTGTGTGGACATATGTTTTCATTTCTCTTGAGTCTATACCTAGGAGTAGAATTGCTGAGTCATATGGTAAATCTGTGTTTTACCTTTTGAGGAACTGCCGGACTGTTCTCCAAAGCGACTGCACCATTTCTCATTCCCACCAGCAATGTATGAGGGCTGCAGTTTCTCCACATCCTCACTAACACTTGTTATTATCTGTCTTTTTGATTATAGCCTTCCCAGTGGGTGACAAGTAGTATCTGATTGTGGCTTGGATTTCCCTGATAGCAAATGATGTTGCGCATCTTTTCATCTGTTTGTTGGCCATTTCTCATCCAGTCAGGTGTTTACTCCCACCATACCTCTGGATCAGTCACTGTGAAGGTCGCCACTGACCGCCTTCTCTTGTCCATGTCAGGCCTTCCATAGATAATTCCTCCTGGTCCTGTAGTTTTAAAAGTGAGCTGTGCTCTGATGACTTTCAGATGTATGCCTCCAGCTCTGACCTCATCCAGAGCTTCAGATGTGTGTCCAACTGCCTATTGCCATTTCCACGTGAATGTCTGAAGGGCATCTCAGATTTAACCTGTCACAAACAGAACACTTGTTTTTTCTCACCCAAACCCATTCCTTCCTGAGTTCTGTATCAGTGAATGGCACCCCCACCACCAGGTGGCTCAGGTCACAAGCCTCCGTGTCCCCTGATTCTGGTCTTTCTTTCTCACCCTCCACCCTCCATCCAACCCATCAGTTAAACCCTTCAGAATACATCCAGCCACTTCTCACCACCTCCACTGCCTGGGATATTGAAGTCCTCCTCTCTGGTCTCCCTGCTAGTCTTACACAGCAGGCAGAGTGGTCCTTTACTGAAAAATGTTGTAACCTAAAAAAAACATAGATTTTATTATGAGTGTATCACATACTCAAAATAGTATATAGCATATATATATTCTTTAAAGAATAAAAATAAAAAGGACTGTGTACCCACCACCCGGATTAAGGAGTAATTACTCAGTACTTCTGAAGTCTTGGTAGGCCCCTGCTTGATCTTATCTCCCTTCCTGCCCCACCAGAAGAATTTCCTGAATTTTACAGTTGTTTCCTTGATTTTTTTTTTTCCTATTGTTTTACCATCTATATATAGAGTCCTAAACAATTTCTGGCTTAGCTTTGCATACTTTTGAACTTTTCGAAACTCATACTATAGGCATTCATCCACGATATATTCTTTTTGCTCAGCATAATAGTTTTTTGGTCATATTTGTGCCTGTTGATATCTGAAACTGGCTTCCCTTCATTCTTACTATATGACATGAATGTACCACAATTTATCTGTTCGATTATGATGAACATTTGGGTTGTTAGCAGTTTTCAGCTATTACCCAGCGCTGTCTTGAACATTTTTTTTCTATTTTATTTTTTTTATTGAGGTTATGATAGTTTACAACCTTGCGAAAGTTCAGTTGTACATTATAATTTGTCAGTTATATTATAGGTGCACCACTTCACCCTTTGTACCCACCCCCACCCCCCCTTTCCCCAGGTAGCCACTAGTCTATTTTCTTTGTTCATGTGTTTGTTTATCTTCCACATATTAGTGGAGTCATACTGAGACTGTCTTTCTCTATCTCGCTTATTTTGCTTAACATAATACCCTCAAGGTCCATCCATGTTGTGAGTGGGGCGATTTTTTTTAAATTTTTTTTTTATTTTTTCCTTTTTTCTCCCCAAAGCCCCCTGGAACATAGTTGTATATTCTTAGTTGTGGGTCCTTCTAGTCATGGCATGTGGGATGCTGCCTCAGTGTGGTTTGATGAGCAGTGCCGTGTCCGCGCCCAGGATTTGAACCAACAAAACACTGGGCTGCCTGCAGCGGAGTGCACCAAGTCAACCACTCGGCCACGGGGCCAGCCCCCTAGGGGTTGATGTTATCCTTTTTTATGGCTGAGTCGTATTCCATTGTGTATATCTATAGATATAGATATAGATATAGATATAGATATATACCATATCTTCTTTATCCAGTCATCAGTCAATGGGCACTTAGGTTGCTTCCATGTCTTGGCTATTGTGAATAATGCTTCAATGAACATAGGGGTGCATGGGTCTCTTTGAATTGCTGATTTCAAGTTCTTTGGATAGATACCCAGTAGTGGGATGGCTGGGTCATATGGTATTTCTATTTTTAATTTTTTGAGAAATCTCCATACTGTTTTCCATAGTGGCTGCACCAGTTTGTATTCCCACCAGCAGTGTATGTCTTGAACATTTTTGTACATCTCTTGGTTCAGATGTTCATATGTACCTGGTAGCAGAAATACTAGAGTTTACCACATACCCACTGGGATGCCTAAAATTAAAAAGAAAATATCAAGGACCTGGAACAAATGGTGGAAATTTGTTACTGGTGGAAATGTAAAGTGCTACAATCACTTTGGAAAACTATTTGATAATTTCTAGTAAAGTTAAACATACGCCTACCCTATGACCCAGTAATTCCACTTCCAGGTATTTACCCAAGGGAAATGAGACTTACGTGTCCACAAAAAGACTTGTATAAGAAAGTTCAGGGCAGTTTTATTCATAACAACCAAAAACTGAAAATGACTCAAATGTCCAAACGTGGAAAAGAACAAACTATTGATATACACAACATGGACGAATCTTCAAAACGTTGTGCTGAGCAAAAGAAGCTAGACACGCAAGAGTACAAATGTGTGTTTATATGAAGTTCAAGGGCAAGTAAATCTAAGCTGTGGGGACAGAACTCAGAAAAGTGGTGGAATGGTAACTATGGAGTGGGAAGGAACACAAGGGAACTTTCTAGGGTGAGAGAAGTGCTCTGCTTCTTACGCTGGGTGCTTACACAGATGTACACAGAGGCAAACATTCACCAAGCTTTACGTTGAAGGATTTCTGCATTTTATTGTATATGAATTAAACCTCAATGAAAAAAGTAGATTGTCCCAAGTGGGGGTGAGGTTTTGGGGGAAAATGAAACAGTATATTCAACCTGTTGTCAGAATTCAGCTTAATCTTTAAATCTGCTTAATATGACAAGCTGGCTGAACTCACTGACTTTGTAATTCAGCGTTTTGAAATATTCAATCTTTGGGTGAGAAACCATTTGTTCCCGCCCAAACCTGAGGATTGCAATCTCTGAGGATGTCTCCACACATGGGAAGTCATAAAATAAATTAGCCTAGGACGACTAGGGGAACTTTCTAGACTCTCATTCTGTTCTTATGCCATATTTTCTGTGAGAAAGATGGTTGTAATTCCTCTTACAAAAAAGAAAAACACCACTGGGATGTGCCCATGTCCATCTTTATGAAGTAATTTCAAATTATCTTCCAAACATTGGAAGATATTTATTTTTTTCCCCACCAGTGGTCAGTGTTTATCAACTCCACATCCTTTCTAAACTCTTGGTACTGTTAGTTTTAAAAAATTTCCTCCAAGGATTTCTTTTAAAATATAGATCAGGTCATGACACATCCCTCCTCAAAACCCTCCATCAGATTAATAATAAATCCTAATGCCTTCAAAGTCCTCTGTGGCCGGGCCCCTCGTGCGTTCTTCTCTGGCACTCTCCCCTGCTTTGTTCCCTATAATTTCCCTGTCATCACACTTTGTAATCACCTGTGCCTTTGTATTTTCCAGTAGACTGGAAGCTCCATGAGGACAGGACAGGTATGTCCTGTCCCACACTGTCCCCCTGCCCTGGCACTGGCCTGTTAAGTATCTGTTGACTGAGCCCCCACTGGGAAGTGGCCCAGGAAGACTGGCCTGCTTCCCTTTGCTGGCACCAGAGGTGGGGGCCGATGCCAAGTGTGTGCCCTCCCTCCGGCTTTTTTGTTCTGGCTTATGCATGGGCTTAACGTGGATGACCAGAGCAACTGTGCAGGGGGGAAGCAGAATGAGGCAGTGAGCAACTGGAGGGCGTGGGCAGTTCACCAAGGAAGCAAGCTGCGTGCAGACACTTTGTAAGGGTCAGCATTGGGTGACTTCTAGGATTTTGGGTGCATGTGTAGGGGCCTCTGACATCTAGTCCCAGTTAGCAGCAGCCCCTCCCTGTGCCTGCAAGTTGAGCAGCTCAGGCTCCCAGGAACAGCCCCGCCATGGGGTTGCAAAGGAAAGGCTTTTGCTGATTATTCCACTTCTTTGCTCTTGCCAAACATGTCAAAACTAGGACTTTTCCTCTCCCCTCTCCCCAGCAAGGCAGCCGGTTACCTCAGATGCCTCCTTTGTTGGGTCAGAATCCCTAGGAGTGACTGACTTCTGCGATGGGAGAGGTGTTTCCTCTGGTGCCTCCTGCACCAGCTGCTGCCCAGCCCCCACCTTCAGTGGCCATAGTGGTCCAGGTTCACCAGAAACCAGGTTTCCCCAGCGAGGCCCCTTGCTCCCATAACTTGCTCAGCCTGGAAAGTCACCGCCTCCCAGATCCACTTGCCTCATGGCTGGCTCTCCTCAGATCACTGGATGCTGGGAGCAGGATCCTGCAAAGCCAAGTTCCTTTCCTTAGAGTTGGTTGTGGAAATGGCAGAAGAGGACCTGGAAGAGTCAATGACCTGGCTTCTCCTTTACAGACTGTCCAGCCAAGGCCATGCCTAGAGTCTGGCCTGCTAAATGGATCAATAGAACATTGGAAGAAACACATTGGAGCCAGTGCTGCTGGGGCCCCTGTGGATTACAGCCAGGAGCCCTGGGTGAGGCATGCGGCCTGGATGAAGCTTCACTCTTGATGGGAAGCAAGCTTCTCTGTCTCCTTCTCTCTCACCCCTGAGTCCCTGGGTAGTTGAAGGAGCTCATGGGCTGCTTTCTGTACCCTGGCCAGTTGCAGGCTTTGGAACCAGATAGACCTGGACTCAAATCTCACCTCCACTCACAAGGTTGTGACTTTAGGCAAGTTCCTTCACTTCCTTGAGCATCGTTTTCCCACCCAGAATAATGTACTCCTTATGGGAATGTGCCAGCTCCGTGTCCTGATGGCTTTGTGGTTTGGCTTGGCCCCAGAAATTTGAGCTGCCACGAATGGAAGGAGTGGCTGAGGTTCTTGAACATAGAACCTGAGAGGCTGTCTCTGCAGCTGCTGGCAGCAGCCAGAGGAACTGAAAGGGCTGGAGCTGGAGCTAGAGCTTTCAGTGAGAGGCTGCGAGGCCCAGGGGCCAGGTCAGAACCAGGGCTAGCCGGATTTGGAGAGGAGCTGGTGGGAACAGGCAGGCAGCCAGGTTTAAGTGGTATGGAGCCAGTGCCTAGGGGCCTACTCTCAGCGTTGTCCCTGACTTTTACCTTGGCTCCCTTGCATGTGGCATCCATTTAGGCTCCTTTCCTTAGGGCGATCCCCAAACGGCCCCACAAGTGGCCTCTTCTCCCTGCTCTTGCCTGCCAGGGCAGCACAGGGCCTCAGGCTGTCAGCATTCCCAGGGACCCTGGTATTCATTTTGTCCATAACATACAGATGAAGGTGACTGCCCAGAGGGCTGACTGGTGGTGGTGCTGAGCCCAGCACCCCTGCGTCCTGACACAGTTGGGTTCTTTCCCTGACACCAGAGCTGGAAGGGTTGTTAATGGTTCACTGAACTAACCCAGGAATGCTTCATCTATAATCCACACCCGAGAGAGAAGAGGGCAAATTCCAGAGCCCAGACCCAGCCCCGCTTCTTTCTCTGAGGGGCTTCTCACAGGCACTGTGGGTAGGAGGGTGCGAGGGCACTGGGATGGGGAGTCATATCCATGGTCCCCTGAATTTTCTCTGGGTCATTTTCTCTTAAGTGTCACCTGAAATTAACCTCACATGTCTGTACTGGGAACTGTGTAAACCTGGATCTTGCAGTGATTTGCCAGGCACTCTAGGAAACTACTTTCTGTCTTTGTTTACCTCCTGGCTAATAAGTGAGGATGGCGGGCTGATCTCGTCCTTTGCGGCCCTGAGTTATGGAGAACGGTGCTATCTCTGGATAGAGGGGAGAGCCCTTTCTTTCATCCACACTTTGGTTAAGTGGGCGTCTCCTCTACTGCCAGCTTTGTCCTCTCTGGGACTTGGGGGCGGGGCTGGGAGAAAACGTGTGTGCGCGTACATTTATCTGCACATTATTTTTCCTCTCTGCAATTTCAGGGTCACGCTGTAGCAGCCTGGCGCCTGATGAGTGACGGGGAACCTGCCAGGGGATTACTGCTAGCGAGCAGGACAGCCAGCCTCAGGGGAGTGGGGATGGGCAGAGCAGCCTTGGAGCCCGGGCCAGCAGCACCAAGACGGAGGCCTGGGCCCTGGCAGGGAGCTCGGCACACGCTCGGCTGACCCAGGCGGCATTCAAAGCAGCACCCTTCTGAGCAGCAGCTGTTCCCAGGCCCCAGAGGACCTCACAGCAGGGGCAGGAGTTATGAGACCCCCTACGCAACTGCATCCAGGGCTGTGACCTTCAGGAGAAAGGACTGGCACCTCAGATGGGAAGAGGAACAGCAGAACCTAACACAAGGAGGATCTTGGTCTCTGCAGCAGAGTTTTCTGACACCCACAGAGCTTCCTGTGTTTCTTCTCTCAGGATTGGGGCCTGGTTCCCTCCCCTGGCAGAGGGGTTGGGCCAGGAGGGCCAACAGAGGTGGGGGCGACTCTTGCATGGAATCCAGGCAGCTTGAAGCCCATGTGTTCTCTGTTGTGATTGGGGTGCGAAGGCTTCCCCCCTGTGGGGGACGAGGGGCCGCCTCGGCATCTGCTCATGAACCACAAGGACCCCGAATGCTCCAGACTGGACCGTTTCAAGCTGCCAAAGAAGGGGGCCCCCAGAGCTGGCAGCCAGCAACTCCAAGGGACTAGAGAGCTGGGATGGATTGACCTCCCTTTCGCTGGGGCGGCGGGAGAAGCAGAGCCTCTGTGGCCCAGCTAGTGACGGAGAGATCTGATGAAGCCGTAAGCAGGGGCCTGAGTGGCTCAAGGACAGGGGAGCCACTCCTGCCTACGTACTTTCTCCTTACGTTGAGGGAGGGTGGGACCCCTGCTGCTGTCCTCTTCTTGGCACGTGCCTCTATGCCCTTTGCACGTGGTGCCAGAATCGGCAGGCTACACCGTGGCTGGCCCGTCAACAGGCTGGGAACGGAGTGGCCACGGTGACACCCTCCTGCCCACCAGGCTGGTGGTCCAGCCCCCGGGGCGCTGAGCCATGAAGTGCTCCCTGCGGGTATGGTTCCTCTCCGTGGCCTTCCTGCTGGTGTTCATCATGTCACTGCTCTTCACCTACTCCCACCACAGCATGGCCACCCTGCCCTACCTGGACTCGGGGTCCCTGGGTGGGACCCACCGGGTGAAGCTGGTGCCCGGCTATGCTGGCCTGCAGCGTGTCAGCAAAGAGGGGCTCGCTGGCAAGAGCTGTGCCTGCCGCCGTTGCATGGGCGACACCGGCGCCTCTGACTGGTTTGATAGCCACTTCAACAGCAACATTTCCCCCGTCTGGACTCGAGAGAACATGGATCTGCCCCCGGATGTCCAGAGGTGGTGGATGGTGAGAGAGCCGTGGCCCCTTCTGCCTCCTCTTTGCTGCCCCCTCTCCAGGGGTCTGTCCCCCTGTTTGGGGGTCACTCTTAGAGCCCATTCTTGGATTTGGGCTGTCTGTCTTCTGGCTCCCAGAGCCTTAACAAAGTGTGAGGTCCTTTTGACCAGAACCATCTACTAGGATCACAGATCCTACAGGGCAGAGCAAGCTTTGGCCTGGAAGGAAAGAAAACAAGTATTTCCTAGTGCCTGTAGGGGCCAGGCATAGACCAGCAGTGCCTGCTGGGCAGGGAGGTAACATAGACAGGAGAAACAGATCCCAAGGGAGAAGATGGTGAGAAGCGAGGACCATGGCAACAGGGAGAGGGCCTGCCCTTTATACAGGAGGCAGCCGCTCTCAGCCCCAGCGATTGTTGCTCTGTAGGGATGTGACCCATCACTGCTGGATCTTCTGGACCTTTAAGAGAACCCAGAAGTCCAGATTTTTTTTGCTAAATATCCTAATTTGTAAATGTTGGCTCAAAACAATTTTAAACACCATGAGGGCCACTTACTTGGTTCTTTACAATTACCGGAAAAGATTTTCTTCTGGGCAGGGATAAGAAAGCATTGTCAACTCCTCTGGGGGTTAAGGGTGGTGAAGGGGAGGGGCTAAGGGGACGCGTGTGCCCACGCCTCCCGGCTCTTCTGGATTCTGTCGCCTTTCTGCTGCTTTTAATTCCCTTCACCCCATCTCTGTCGTCTCTAGAGGGTTGCTCTCCAGGCTCTGCCAGGGGCTTCTGGTTGCCACATGTATCAGGGGTGGAGCAGTATCAGTACTTAACCCAGAGACCCGCAGGCTGCCTGCATTCCCCGAGGGGGAACTTGGGAGGCAGCTCATGGTCCTCAGTTTCCCCCTGGCAAATGGAGAGGATGATGACTACCCCTTTTTCTCACCTTCAGGGAAGCTGTGAGGGTGAGTTCGTGTGATCAGGCTTATCACAACTCACAGATCCTGCTTCCTGGCCCAGACTGTCATAGTCCCTAAGGAGGAGGAGAACAGGGGTCACCAGGAGCCCCACAGCCCTTCCTGTGACAGCCTGGAGCCCTTAAAGGGTTCTACCTGTTGCTCATAGCCACAGCCTTCGTTTTATGGGAAAATCAAGGTTCAGAGAGTATGCAGGGTATATCCAAGGTGATGAGTTTCAGTGGTGGCCACCCAGGGCCAGAACAGGACCCTGGGCAGGTGTAGACCAGGGGCAGGCCAGGCCTCCTGCCTATGGGCTGGAGCTCAAGGCTATTTAAGCACCAAGCATGTTTCTTGGCTGAGATGCAACAGAGGCCACAGTCACCCCCTTTTGCCACAAACTTAGAAACTCTTGTCTCAGAGCTAAACTTCCATTCCACACTGAGTTTGTGGTCTTGTTCTTGAAGGCCTGTTCTGTGCTCAGAAGAGGCAGAGAAGCAGGCCTACCCCTTCCCCTCCATGTATTCCGTCCCCTGAGCAGCTCCTGCTGGGCCACAAACCTGTGGTGTTTCGGCTCAGACCACAGAGCATTTGAAAGCCCTGGCTTCTACCTTACCAGCTGGTGGTCCCTGGGCCAAGTCTAACCCCCCTCAATGTTTTTAAAATCTTTGCATTAGTTACCAACGTTTAGGAATCAGGATATTTCACATGAAATCCATATTTTCAGCTTCTCTTTAAAAACTGTAAAATTTGGTCCTTCTTGGCTCATTGCTTCACTCCTGTGTGTTACTTTCTGGCAACGTAGGCATCTAGTGCTGCCTCAGCCTCATTTCATGGTCTTTCACAGTCACTGGTGGTGGGAGGTACAGGGGACCAATTTCATTCCAGCCATTCTGACTTTGAAAGAATTTCTGTGCCTCCCTTCCTCTCACTGAGGGCTCAGGGAGTGGCTCTAGGTATCCTGTGGTGCGGCTTCTGTAACCCCAAGCCCTCAGGCTGAATCCCAGGGTTGTGTCCCCGTAGGCTGATTGGGAATGAACTCCTGAAGCTTGGTGGAGCTTTCCACATTAACTGCACCTCACAATAACTCTGTGTGACTCAGAGCTGCCCAGAGAGGACAGGAGAGCAGGGGCCTCTTCAAACATGACGAACCCAGGAAGTTTCTCTGCTTTTTGGCATGGGCCTGCAGATCCCTGGAGAATGTGTTGAATGGTGCCTTGACCCCTGAGCCCCCTCCAGTGCGTCAGGGCAGCTCCTCACTAGCAGAGCACTGTCTCAGAAGGGAGACTTTGCTGCTGTTGAGAGAGGGGAGAGTCCTCACTGCTCAAGGAGAATTCCTACTCACCCTGACAGCGTGGTTAGGAGGCCTGTGTGGCTTGGACCCTGGAGGATGAAGGCAGGGAGGGGAGGTAGGTGGGAATCTCTCCCTGCTCACACCCCTCCTTTCCCCTCCGCAGATGCTGCAGCCCCAGTTCAAGTCACACAACACCAACGAGGTGCTGGAGAAGCTATTCCAGATAGTCCCAGGCGAGAACCCCTACCGTTTCCGGGATCCCCACCAGTGTCGGCGCTGTGCTGTGGTGGGGAACTCAGGCAACCTGCGGGGCTCTGGCTATGGGCCGGATGTGGATGGGCACAACTTCATCATGAGGTGAGCCCAAGGGTGAGCCCAGGACAAGCCTCCAGGAGGGAGGTCTGACCGCCCTGGCCTTGTTTGGCAGTGTAGAAGTTGCCAGCTGCTGGGGGTGCCATGGGTCTCTGACATCCGGAACCTTCTGTGACAGGCTCAAGTCTCTCACTTTTGTCTGTTGGGGTGGATGGGGAGACAAAATTCCCATTCTAAACTTTGCTTGAGGCCTGCACTCAGTTTCCAACTCTGAATTCCTCTGAAAAGAGCTGGAACTAGACTCCTGGCTGATGTCTAGTGAAAACTCCCAGCAGAGGCCCTTCCACCTGCCTGGTCCCCTCAGCAGATGGGCCAGGAGTGAGGGCCCCAAGATAGCATCTTGCTTAATAGCCACAGGTGATTCCTTCTGGCAGACTCACAGAAGACTGAAGTCCTGGGCAGGAAAAGGAGCTGTGCAGTGCTTGCTCTGGGCTGCTGTCCCTCCCCTTTATCTCGGAAGGTTTAGATCATGGAGGGGCTCATTCATTCAGCAGACACCTATGCCCGGTCTTGAGGAAAGGAGAAGGGTTTGGAGGGCATTCATTCCATACAAAGACACAGAGTGAGGAGCCTGGGAGTGAACAGGGACTGGAGGGTAGACTTATACAGGGCTGCTCACTCTGCTCCTGAACCTCTGTCTTCTGACTTCCTCCCTAGATTTGAGGACAGGAAATGCCACAGTAGGGATCCTTCCATCCCACTCCTTGGTGGAGAAAGAGCCTTAAGAATAAAGATACTGAAAATGCCCCGTTTTCACTTTCATCTTAGGATGAGCATTGTAGAAAGACCAGGTTTCCCAGGAGGTAGAAGGAAGGGCTTTGTCTTAGAAACTGTTGCTGTCTCCATAGCAACACCAAGGCAGCAATATGTCTCTGAGGTTTTCAACATTCCTTACAAAACCTTTCTCATGTTGAGAACGGTGGGGGCTGGGGGAGAGAGAGGGATGCTAGGCCCCATCCAGGAACCCAGAGCCACCTGAGATTCTCCCCATCCTCCAAGTGCTGGCACCCAGAAGGCGAGGGAGGCAAGCTGGGAGCTGAGAGGGGCCTCTCTCCACCCAGAGACTTGGCCGAGATTGGGGAATGAGGCATCCAGCACTTCAGTGCAGTGCCTTGGGAAGCCCAGGGCAATGCTCTCGAGTGCCTGAAGCTCCTGCCTCACCTGTCCTCCCATCTACACCTAGTGGGAGCTTTCATTATACACGTTGGTGATGGTTGTGAAGCTCCAGGCTACAAGCACGGCAGACAAAAAGACTTGGCCTCTATGACTCATGGGCGATACCTGGTCAGGCCCGGCTGCAGAGAGGAATTCACAGACATTCCCTCACAGGGACCAGGCTAGGAGATGTGGTGTTTTGGAGTGGACTTCAGAATGGCTTTGTAGAAGGGGTAACCGAGATGGTAATTGGCTTTTTGCTGATCTGTATAAGGAGCCAGATGGCAGTGGAGGTGACTCTGCTTATAGGCAATATGTTGGTTTGGAACCAGTGGGGAGGCCCTCCTTTCGGGAAGCAGGACCAACGTAAGACCTCATGGAAGGGCTGAGCTGAGATACAGTGAGATGATGGCTCTACCCACCTCCCCCGCAACCAGCTTCCTCCTCCTCCTATATGTCTTCTGAGCCCTGCTGACAACTGCAAATGGAGTTGAGCTGGTCCTGCCTCTACTGGCCAGCAGATAGATCCATGACTCCTAGAATAGCATCTGGCAGATTGTAGGATCGCCATAAATATACGAATAAGGAAAGGTATTAGACGGCCAGGTGCCCAGCCCTAAGCGTGAATGCATGTCAACCCTGCCTGTGCCCCTGCCCCCAGGTACTTCTTTGGCAGCTGGAAGCAGCCAGGAACAGATAGAATGCTAGAATGCTTTTCCTCCAAGTCACAGAGACCCAGCTCATCCTCTCTATCCTGCTTTGGCCCCTTTCCAGGGCTTGGCTTCTCCAGGGTGAATCAGAGCCTCGAAGCAAAATCCTGTCCCCAGAAGTATGCCACATTCCTTCCCTTTGCCTTGGAGGCTCCGAAACATCTTTTTGGACCTCTTGCTCCATTCATTCTCAGACTTTGAAAGCTGGAGCCTGCCCAGCAAGCGGGAGGGACCTGAGGGAGGTGGAGGCTCTGCAACAGGGCTGACTGAGGAGCGGGAGGCAGCGATCCTGGCTGACACGTCTGTGAAGGGACTTCGTGAAAGCTCTGGCTGCTGATTCAGTGGACAAGTGGAAAAGGCAGATGGTGTGGGGTGGGGGTGGGGGAGTGTAGGGGTGGGGGTGTCTTCAGAAGCTAACCTAGGGCAGGTGTCCCCCTTTGATCTGCAGGACCACCTTGGCTCTCCATCTTAGGTGAGATGAGGTTTGTTTCTTGGCTACTCGGAAGAATGAACCTTGACCCCAGCCCCTGCCCGGCCCAGGCCCTAGACAACTTGAGTGTCATCATCCCGTCTTCCACCTCCTGCTGCCCCCTTCCGTACCCCAGGCAGCTGAGAAATACCATCTTTGTTAAGGCTTCCTCTCCAACCTGCTCTGTTCCTCACAGACCCCAGGGCTGATGTGGCAGAGGGCAGATCCAGACTGTGGCTCTGGTGACCATAGGACACCAATGCTGTGTGTGGAGCTGTAGCAGCCCTGGAAAACTGTTACTGAGGAATGGGAAAGGATGCTTCTTGGCTCCTCTGGGAGACAATATCTCTGAACCCTAAAAAGCAGAAGATCAGAGGGGCACCTGGACAGGAGGCAGAGGGGCAGTTAATCTAAAGAAATAGGTTTGGGGGAGGGAGGCAGGGTCTGGATCCCTGTTTGGAGGCTAGAGCACAATTGGTCCTGCAGAGAAGATTCTAGGCTTCTACTTCACCAGAGTAGAACTGACACTGCTAAGAATAAAGACTCACTCTCTAGCTCCAAATCAGGCCACTCTCAGGCTTTATAGTCTCCCAGCCCCAAACACCCTTCAATCCCTCAAGGGAAGGGAAGCGGAGGTACAGTAGTGTGACCAGCAGGGGTGCGGCCTCCTGAATGTGCTCTTACCACATCACATCATGCCATCAATGGGAGACGGGCAGAGGGAAGGCAGTGTGGGAGCCCCCGTGACACAAGAGGTCTTCACCCACCCAGCTCTGTGGTGCTGGCCACTTTAAAGATGGGGAATGTTCATACTGGTTTTACACAACGCATAAAAAGCTGGGAGAGCATGTGGAGACTTCACTCTCTCTCTCCCAGATCCCTGTGTCCCCAGTGGAGGTCCAGGTTACAGTCACCCACCTTGGTGGTCATGATTCTGCAAGGTGGTCCACATAAGACAGGAATGTTCTCATAAAGTATCACAGCAGAAAAGACCAACAAGTTTGTGTTTAAAGCTGGATCACCTGTTTTTAAGCTGCTCACCCAAAAAGGGAGCTTTGATTTTATTGATCCTATGTTTTGCACCAATTGAAAAGAAGTAGAAACCCTCTTGGCTTATTACACTCAGGGGGGGTGGGGAGCCTGTGCGGAGTTTCCAGCTTCTTCCATGACAGTGCAGAAGAGACAGACCCACACTGCACATCACCAGGGTACAGCCAAGGGTGGGCACTGTCAGAATTTGGGGCATCACTCTTGGCCTTGGCGTGGAAAGGCAGACAAGAACTTAAACTACAGGGACAGGGTGGCTGGGGCTGGGGGAATAGAGGCTGTCTTCTTCCCTCCCTCTTTTACTCCCTCCCTCCCTCCCTCTCTCTCTCTTTCCTTCTTCTCTCTGTTTCTCTCTCTTTTTTTTTTTTTTTACAAAAAATGTTATCACACTATCTAGTTTGAAGTGTTCCTTTTCTGTGTTGTAATTCCCTCCTGCTGCACATAGTAGGTATTCAAAAGACATGTATTAAAAGGAAAGAAGTAGGATAACTCACAGCACTTGGTTTTTTCAATGAATAGCTCTTGGACTTATTTCTTATTTACACACGTACATCTACTTCATTCTGATGGCTACATGGTATTCCATTATATGAATGTGCCAAAATGTATCAACCAGTTCTTTATTGTTTAATTGATTCTCCTTTTAACTATTATAAATAATAGTATTTATTTATGATAGTATTCATATATAATATTCATAAATAATACTACAGTGAATATCTTTGTACACATGTCTTTGCACACTTATGCAGCCATTTTTTTTTTCCTTTTTCTCCCTAAAGCCCTCCAGTACACAGTTGTATATTCTTCGTTGTGGGTCCTTCTAGTTGTGGCATGTGGGATGCTGCCTCAGTGTGGTTTGATGAGCAGTGCCATGTCCGCGCCCAGGATTCGAACCAACGAAACACTGGGCTGCCTGCAGCGGAGCGCGTGAACTTAACCACTTGGCCATGGGGCCAGCCCCTTATGCAGCCATTTTTATAGGACAGATTTCTAGAAATGGAATTGCTGGCTCAAAGTGTACCCCCATTTATATTTTGATGGCTAGCACCAAATTGTCCTCTAAAAATCTCTTATCAGTTTCCAGGGCGGTTTCTTCTCATATCACTCTCTTGTCCCTGCAGGATGAATCAGGCTCCAACTGTGGGCTTTGAGCAGGATGTTGGCAGCCGAACCACCCACCATTTCATGTACCCTGAGAGTGCCAAGAACCTGCCTGCCAATGTCAGCTTCGTGTTGGTGCCCTTCAAAGCCCTGGACCTCCTGTGGATTGCCAGTGCCCTGTCCACAGGGCAGATCCGATTGTGAGCCACTCTGCTGACTTGAAGTGGAATATGGGTGACAGGACTACCTGGGGAGGAGTCTTCCCAGGGACTGGATCTTAGAAGTCCTTTTACTTAATATTTTGGCCAAGAGGGGCTGATGAGGCAATAGTTGCAAGGGCCCCAAATGATAGGTTAACTGAGGCCACAGATTGTTGTGTCGCTTCCTGCATAGTGACAGCCAGCATACTGGTGGTGGAAAGGTGAAGAAAGGACAATCTAGTTTTGGTCTCCTTCCCAGGAGGTGGCTCCTGACTGTGGGAGCTCTGCCTTCTGAGAACTTTCTTTGGAGGCAGGTACCCAGTCACAACTGGGAACCTCAGGAAATTCAATACACCAAGCATTTTTTTAACAGCTTTATTGAGATATAATTCTCATACCCATACAATTCACACATTTAAAGTGTACAATTCATTGGCTTTTAGTATATTCAGAGTTGTGTGACCATCACAATTAATTTCAGGACACTTTCATATTCTAAAGGTGAAGATCTTTAAAGATAAAGATCTAGAGATATGCCTGTACGCCTTAGCCATGACGCTCACTCTCTCCACCCCCAGCCCCCAGCCCTAGGCAAGCACTAATCGCTTCTGTATCTCATGATGTATTTTTGTGTGTGTGGTAAAATATATGTAACATAAAATATACCATTTTAACCACACAGGTCAGTAGCATTAAGTAACATTCACATTGTTGTGCCAACATCGCCGCCATCCCTCTCCAGAACTTTTTCATCATCTCAAATGGAAGCTCTGTACCCATTGAACAATAACTCCCATTTCCCCCTCCCCCTAGCCCTGATAATCACTATTCTTTCTGTCTCTACGATTTGACTGTTCTAGGTACTTCATATAAGTGGAATCATAGTGTTTGTCCTTTTGTGTCTGGCTTATTTCACTTAGCATAATGTTTTCAGGGTTCATCCATGTTGTAGGATGTATCAGGATTTCATTCCTTTTAAAGGCTGAATGGTATTCCATTATATGGATATACCATGTTTTATTTATCCATTCAGCTGTCAATTGACAGTTGGGTTGTTTCTACCTTTTGCCTGTTGTCACCATGTATTTTTTAAACACAGAAGTATAAGTTACAGTTTCCTTACTTTATTTTATCTTATGTTTGGGAGACATAAGCGCTAAAATAAGTGCTATAGAGTTTAAGTCCCATAGATACTTAGAAAAGGAAGCGTAGGTTACAGGCCCCATGGCTGGCTAATAGGGAAGGAGGGATTTGTGCCAAATGTGGGAACAGTAGCGAGAGGGTCATTGTGGGCAGAGGTCAGAGCACAAACATGGTGGGTGTGAGATGAACGGTGAACTCAAGTGGAGAGTTCACAGCAGAGAGTTGTGGGAAGAAAAGTTGGGGCTGAATTATGGAAGGCTCCCATCCTTGTCTAAAACATCCTCTTTTATCCTGGAGGACATGGGGAGCCACTGAAAGTTTCTGATGATATGCTGATGAAGGTATTCAGTGATGTGCTATGGAAGAGCAGTCTGGAAGCAGGGGGCGCCTGTTGTGAGGCTGTCATCACGCAGACCTGAGCGGGAGGAAAGGCATCCCTGGGTCCCATGGAGCCATCTCAGTGTTATTTTTCTTTCTGCTTGTAGCACCTATGCCCCAGTGAAGTCCTTCCTTCGAGTGGACAAAGAAAAGGTAAGCTCCCTCCTCCTCCTCCTTATTCATCCCCACCTCAATGGGAACAGTGCAGACCTGACTCATGGTGTCCCTGGTCCTGTGGCTCAGGTGTCCCTCAGTGCCCCTCCAGAACCTTCAGAGTCCAAATCTGCTAGTATGCCTGACCCCCCACAGAGGCGGCAGGAACCACGGAACACAAACAGGTCCCCTAGCAAGCATGGAGGAACTGGCAGAAGTTGCTCAGAGCCTGGCCTGAGTCTCCGTGCCCCAAAAGCCCCTCATGTGTCTGTTACCTATTCTCCCAGGTCCAGATCTACAACCCAGCCTTCTTCAAGTACATCCATGACCGGTGGACAGAGCATCATGGGCGGTACCCTTCCACAGGGATGCTCGTGCTCTTCTTTGCCCTGCATGTGTGTGACGAGGTGAGGAGCCCAGTCTGGGGGTAAAATCGCAGGACTCATGGAATAGAGGGAGTCAGCCCATCTCAGGGCTTAGCGGTGCCTCAAGAGGAATGTGCTTTTATAGGCAGAATCCAAGTGGCTTTGATTCCCCCTGTTTCTAGGCTATAAAGTATAGATCTGCACTTCCCAAACTTACTACTTTCATGATTTTACCAAATCTGAAATCACTTCATTGAAAAGTTAAATTTATTTAAAAAGGAAATAGAATATTACTTCCATAATGGATATTATTTGCCAGAAAGAAAAAATGACCATAAACATAAATAGAATGGAAACAATGTAGTTAAGTTTCAGCTGGATGGTAGTCTCCCACAGTTGTGGGCACCAAGCATACTCTGTGTTAAAAATGGGGGTTAGTCTTTCAAGGAATCACATCCCGCTGGCGGGCTGGGCTACTGGGCCATACACGGTAGTGCTCACGCCCAGCACACCCAATTTGGCCAGCAGATTCTTCGGTGTATGGTATTGGGTGTTTGACCAGCTTTCAAATATAAGTGCTCCATTAACAACAACAACAAAAGGAAGTTAGCAAGGGTTGGAGAGCTGTCATAGCCTACCCCCAAACTGAAGCATTCTTGATGTGATCAGAAGGACGGAAGGAGAACCGGAAGGGAGCAGCGTCTCCCACTGGTCAGTGTCTTCAGCGCCAGGCGTGGGTGTCCCGCCCCCACCTCCCGGTGCCCCACCGCGCTCTGAGAATTGATGAGCTGCGGGCCTCCCAGGTGTCGTCGGGTCGCCGCGGCCCCTTTCTCCTCCCTCACCACGACCCGAGGCCCTCCCGCGCCCTGTCCTCCTGGTTCCCGACATGGAGTGACCTGCGCCGCCCTCCCCTGCAGGTGAACGTGTACGGGTTTGGGGCCGACAGCCGGGGCAACTGGCACCACTACTGGGAGAATAACCGGTACGCAGGCGAGTTCCGGAAGACGGGCGTGCACGACGCCGACTTCGAGGCCCACATCATCGACATGCTGGCCAAGGCCAGCAAGATCGAGGTCTACCGAGGGAACTGAACCCGGCCTCGCCGCGACCCTTCCGGCCCGGCCGCGAGTCGCCGGTGCGCGCTCCCAGCAGGGACTCGAGGCCAGCCCGGGCGCGGCGGCCTCGGCGTGGGCGCGGCGCCGGCTGCGCGTCTCCGGGCAATCGGCAGCGACGCCCAGCCGCGGTCTGGACCAATCAAGCTGCAGTCCAGCGAGTGCTGCTGTCCCCCGCCAATCATGAGACTCTGGGGGCCGGCCCAAGCCTGGCACCAATCAGCGCTGCAGTCGGGCTGAGCCTCTGTTTTTCCCAACCAATCATGCGACTCAAGGAGAACTTCCGGCGCTGGGACCCGCCTCCTCCAATCAATGGCCTTTGGAGGCGGGCCAGCGGCCGCCCAGTCCCCACCCCTTTCTGCTTTTGGGTAGGGTTTTATTTCATGCTTTTTATGGAGTAGGGGTTGCTTCTGCCTTCCTTGAAGTGGCTTCCTCACGCTCGTCTGGGGCGTTTCTCAGTCGCTTGCTGGCCTGACCCCTCCAGGTCACCGAGGAGGAAATGGGGAAGGCTGGGGCAGCGGCGGCTGGCTTCCCCTTCCCGGGGGTCCCTCGTGGCCTCGGGGTGGGCGGGGGGCGTTCGGCGAGCCTTTCTGGTGGTCGGGGCCGCTCCCGTGGTTTCCAGGGGGCGCGCTTTCACCCCAGGGGAAAAGCCAGCCCCTTCCCAAACCGCTCAAGGCCTCCGAGAGGGTTTTAGACCCCACCGTCTCTTTATCTGTCAGGCCCAGATGGGTGAGTGTAAACCCACCAAAGAAATGCAGAGAGAATCCAGAGGGCGCGTGGGACCCTCATCTCCCTTCCTCCCTTTCCCCACCATCGGCCACCCTATGGAATGGCCTTTCTGACCAGGGCATTTGGTGTCTCACTGGGAAACTAGAACTGTATTCACCCCTTGCTTGGGGGCGGAATTCGCTTAGGGCCTAATTCTGGGACGCAGGTGTAAGGAACAGGGCAGGGGACAAGGAGGCCCCGTCACATCAAAAGTAAGGTGCTTCTCACTCACGAGTACCCTCGGCCCCTAACCCTACTGTTCGCCCGCACCCTTTTCAGTGTCCCTCCCTAAGTCCTGGGCCTCCTCACCAGCCTACTTGTTGCTCAGAAAAGAAAATCAAAACCTGCCCTGGGATGATTGGGACACTGCTGCTTCTCCCTCTCCCCCTCCCCCCTCCCCTCCCCCCCTCCCCCTCCCCCCCTCCCCTCCCCCCTCCCCTCCCCCCGCCTCGCCTCTCCCCCTCCCCTCTCCCCCCTCCCTCTCCCCCTCCCCTCTCCCCCTCCCCCTTTCCACCTCTCCCCCTCTCCCCCTCTCTCCCCCTCTCTCCCCCTCTCTCCCCCTCTCTCCCCCTCTCTCCCCCTCTCCCTCTCTCTCCCTCTCTCTCCCTCTCTCTCTCTCTCTCACACACACACACATACAAGTCTTTGGCTGGCTCTAGGGAGAGGGAGCGACAGGTGGCAAAGAAAGCTGGAGATGGGGAGCGCAGCTGCCTGGTGCATGCACCTTCTTCCTTTAACTATCACCCCAAAGAGGAGTAGGAAACCTCTTGCTCGGGGGTGGAATTTGCTTCGGGCTCATAATTTGGTTAACCTGAGGTTACCAGGTTTGGCTGACCAACAATGATTCTTTTAAAATTCTGAGCTGGCCCCCTGCATGCCTCTTTCCCTGCCCACGTGTCCCCCCCATGCTCCCCTCCTGCCTCCTTGCTCTAACCCACTTTCCATTTCCAGCTCTAGAAAGGCTGGGGAGTTAACAACCAGGTTACAAGTGGAAGCTGCTTGCATGACTGAACCCAGCTTAAGTCCCTAGAGGAAGCTGCTGGTGGTGGTCTCACCCTTCAAGGTGGGGACGTTTAGGAGGGGGAGAGGGCTTCTGTGAAGCTTCCAAACCACTAAAAGGATCCCCCTTCCTGACACTGATGAACACAGATACCACCCTTTTGCTTAGTGAGTTGATACCACCTAGCAGCCTCCTGGCCATTGATATGGTTCCTGCAGCTGGCTGGGGGAACAGTACAGCAGGGGGGTGTATTAGAGGAGGGTTGGGGTGTGGGGGTGGGGCAGTGAGCACCCCTAAAAGTTAATATATTGAGAACTTAGCTTGAGTGTGTTCCTTCCCAATTCCAAAAGTAGGAGGAGTAAAGAATGAGGGTGGATTTGGGGGCCTTTAGTGGAACGCCTCCTCAGGGCCTCCCTCCCCATTAGAGAGTCAAAGCTCCAGCCCTTCTTGCCAGTCTCCTCTCAGTGCTTCCTGAAGAGGCTGTTGTGAGTGTTTAGAACAGGAAAAACACAATGCAATCATGCCAAACAGTATTGAGCAGAATAATTTATTTCTTTTTTGTTCCTTTTTCTTCTTTTTTTTTTTGGTTTTGTTTAAACCCATTAATAAATCCCCATTCTGGAAGAGGTAGGTCCCAGCATCTAGCCCTGATCTCCTTTTCTGCAATAGTTATTTAAACAAACATTTTTTTATTTTCTTCCCTTTCTCTGTCTTTCTGAATTAAAAAGAACAAAAAAACTGTATAGTCGTTCGTCTGTTCTGAAATGTGTATGGTCGTGGAAAGAAGGTGTATCTGCAGTGGGGGGCTGTGACTGAGTAATGGCTAAGAATGTTGGGGGCATATATGAAAGGGGGAGGGGACGACTCACAGACACCCTCCCCTTATACATGAGGAGCCTAGGTCCATGGACCCTACTGTCTGAAGTTCCCAAGACATGTAAATCGTCTTTTTGTTAAAAATCAATTCATTGTTCCCTCTTCACTTTTCTCTGAAAGAGGAATGAATTGGAGAGAATGGCTGGCAACTTCCCACAGTGGCTGTCCTGCCTCCACTTTGGCCCGTCTCCATCAGTCTCATGCATTTGGGCGTGTCACCAGCTGGGCGGCAAGCTTGGCCGTCCCCACCTCTCTGAGGGGTGAGTGCCTCTAGGACAGGTTTCCCCCGCCTTTTGCATGGCCTTGCTGTCTCTCCCTCCCCTGCTCCTACCATGTCTGGAGGAGAACCTGCATCTTGAGTGCAGGAGCTAGAAAGGAGGGAGGACCTCCTTTGGGAAGGCGGCTCTCTGCTCATGTTTGCACCTCTTCTCTGCCAGCCGCCATCAGCCATCTATGTTCCCAGTGACATTTGCTGCAGTGTTCAAGTGGTGGGCAGATGAGAGACTTCTACTGCCTAGCGGCCAGCAATGGAGAAGAAAATGTCCTTGGGGTAAAGATACTGAGGATATGAAGAGCAGTGGGGCCTCAGGAACCCAGCATTAGGGAATTCTGTAAAGACACAGCTCCATTCTCTGAAGCCCAACTGAAGTGATGTTAACAGTGGGGTTGGAGCTGGCTTCTCTTTGTCCGCCTTTCTGTCCCTGATGGTTAGTTAGACCCAGCTTTTCAATTGTTAGCAACAGAGAGTAGGGAGAGCTGGGAGCATCCTCTTCTCCTCCAACCTTCCCCACCGTGGAGAAACCTGGCCCTAGAGCTTGGCCAATTTCCCTAAAACGCTGAAGGAGTCCAAGCTTAGGCGATGAGGGCAGGCCCAGGGTGCCTCAGCCTGTTCCTTGGGTGGCGCTGCTTGTGGATGGCAGTGCTATTTCGTGGGTTTAGGGTTGATGGTGGGAACAGGGAGGTAGACCATCTCTCTTTGCCACAGACTCTCCAGTAGCATTTAGATGGCTGAATTATGAGGCCTGGTGGCAGGATGGCACACACACAGTGTGGACTGCTCAGAACTGTTTCTTGTCTGGGCCCCACTCAAAGCCGGCTGCCTTATGGGTTACCATAATTGATTGGAGCAGTACTCCCAAATGTCCTATGTGTTACCTCCAGAATCAAGAGTTCTTCCAAATTGTGTCTTTCCCTCCCCCCGCATGTTGGCCACGGACTGTATTGCTTTGATCTAGCAAAGATCTGGAACCACAGGTTGGCACTGCTGCTTGAGTACCTTTGCAATGAACTACTGTCATTCTCCATGACTTAGACAGTGAGTAATGGGATGAGGAAGAAATCACTCACCCCTGCATAAGTAGGTTTGATGACAGCACCAATCTCTGCAAATCTTCCTGGGACATGGCATTGACTTTGACTTACTATCCTGGAGATGGGGTGGAAGGCAGTTCCAGGGAATTCTGTTTGGCTAATCCCATCATAATAACCCTCACTCCATGGGTCAGCTTCCCAATATGGGGATTTTGCCAGGTGGTAAATCTCTCTCTTCCTTATAAGACTGAGGAAGTTACCTTAAAATGGGTCTGCGGTCTCATTGGACCCACCATTAAATGGACTTGGATTAGAGCTCCATCTCTCATTTGCCATAATAGTCTCTGACTCTAACTGCTGGACCACACTGACATTCGACTCTCAGAGCCAGTATCTGATAATTCTTGCAGGTTGGATATTTCCCTTTCCCCTGTCACTGTCACTCCTGGAAATAGGGCCCTCTGGAAAGGCTTGGGAAAGATTCACAACACACACCTAAGCAACATCAGAGGGTCACTCCTGAAAGGACCCTGGGATCCTCTTGAAAAAGAGGCTCCAGATGTGTAACCTGCATTAGGTCTGGGAACTGGGTAAGAAGCTGTGAGTCTCCATTGCTGGGACTCAAGTTTCTTCTCAGCACCCCTAGAATTTTCCCTCCCATACACATCAGTACCTTAGTAGGCTGCCCATCATTTATTTCATTTCTAGGGACCCCTATGGTCAATTAACTATTGTCCCAAATCCTTATAGGTCAAAACTAATTGCCAGGGGCTGGCCCGGTCGCACAGCAGTTAAGTGCACACGTTCCGCTTTGGCGGCCCCGGGTTCGCCGGTTCGGATCCTGGGTGTGGACACAGCACTGCTTGTCAAGCCATGCTGTGGCAGGCGTCCCACATATAAAGTAGAGGAAGATGGGCACGGATGTTAGGTCAGGGCCAGCCTTCCTCAGCAAAAAGAGAGGAGGATTGGCAGCAGATGTTAGCTCAGTGCTAATCTTCCTTTAAAAAAACCCCAAAAAACCTAATTGCCAGACTGTGGCTTCTTATGGTAAATGTGCCTACCTATCTTGGATAGTTTGACACTTATTAGGCACATTTTTGTGGCCTTTTTCATGCTGGGATCCCGTTATTCTCTGACTTACAGATGACAGCCACCAGAGAGTTCTTCAAAGATGTTGGTGCCCCAATCACTAATGCACTTTTTAAATTAATTTTTTAAAATCATTTTTGCTGTGGAAGATAATACATATGCAGAAAAGAGCATAGAAATAAATGAACAAAAATGTAGAGCTTAATGAATTATTTTTTAAAATCTCCATAATAGAAATATATTTCGCAAAGCAGAAATAGGATAATATTATATATAATACGTATATTATAGATATAGATAGGATTATCTATATAATTTCTGTGGTAAAGGAAAAATAACTAACAATTCCACTGCCATTTGAATACCAAAA